GTACTGATTGAAGCAAACTGCCGAATAACAACACGTGAAATCACTAAGAGATTAAATTTGTCAAATTGAACTGTTTATGATTACTTGAAACAAATTGGTTTTGTTTCAAAGCTTGATATATGGGTTCCACATGTTCTTAAAGAGAGATGCTCTCTTTGGTGGGATTTTAAGGAAATTTTTTTTTTGGAGCTTTTACCAGACAATTTAACAATTGATTCGAAAGTATAAAAATAATTAAATTGAGTAAGCAAGCATATTGAATATCTTCAAACAGAAAAGGTGGCCAGAATTGATCAAGAAAACAGGTGTAGTGTTTTACCACGATAATGTCAAATTTCACACAAGTTTGGTAACTCGTCAGAAACTGTTATAACTTAGATGGGATGTGCTATCACACCAATCATATTCGCCGGATCGAGCACACTCAGATTATTATTTGTTCTGGTCTATACAAATTATTTTTAACTGTAACACATTTACTTGAAATGACGATGTCAAAAATCACTTGGATCAGTTTTTGTAAGCAACGATCAAAACTTTTATGAATGTGAAATCATGCAACTACCAGAAACAATGACAACAGGTATTTGACCAAAATGGTTGATATATAATTCAATAAAATATTTACTTATTATAAAAATACTGTTTTTTTTCCATGGAAAAAAACGAACTTACTTTCCGAACAACCCAATATATTATTTGTACGAGGTCTGTTAAAAAAATATATGGACTGTTTGAATTGCGTAGCTCCAGTTGGTTCCAGGGGAATCCGCTTGGTGTTGCTAGGTTTGTACAGATCGTCTGGTGATAAAGCCGTTTCCCAATTACAGATATCTTTATTTGTTGATTAGCTACGTGGTTTTTAGTAAAGTGTGATTTTTTTCGTTTGTCAGATTTCAGAATGAATGACCTGATGGAGCAACGACTTGCTGTGAAATTTTATGTTAAACTTTGAAAATCTGCGACTGAAACATTTGCTATGCTGAACACGGCTTATGGTGATGTTGCTATAAAGCGTATGGCATGTTTCAAGCGGCATGAACATTTTAAGGGTGGTCAACAGTCGATTGAAGACGATGAGCGTCCTGGACATCCTAAGGGTATTGTTCACCACAAGTACCTCCCCCAAGGTTCCACAGTAAACCAGACTTACTATATTGAAGTTCTGAAATGTCTGAGGGACGCCATCCATCACAAAAGGCCAGAAATGTGGAGGAGTGGCAACTGGTTTCTCCATCACGACAATGCTCCAGTCCATTCAACCCTCAGAACTTGTGAGTTTTTGGCCAAACACTCGATCACTGTTCTTTCCCACCCCCTTACTCAACTGACCGTGCTTCTTGTGACTTTTTCTTGTTCCCCAAACTAAAAAAAGACCCTTGAAAGGAAGATTTGAGATGATTCCCAAGATTAATGCAAATGCGATGAAGGTGTTGAAGAACATTACAAAAGAAGTGTACCAGGACTGTTTCAACAAGTGAAAACACTGTTGGGATAAGTGTGTGCATTGAGAAGGAGAGTACTTTGAAGAGGACCCAGACATGTAACTTCTACATAAAGTACATTTTGTTTTATGACGTCAGTCCATGTATTTTTTGAACAGACCTCGTACTTATTTATTTATTATATATATATATATATAATAAATAAATAAGTACGAGGTCTGTTCAAAAAATACATGGACTGACGTCATAAAACAAAATGTACTTTATGTAGAAGTTACATGTCTGGGTCCTCTTCAAAGTACTCTCCTTCTCAATGCACACACTTATCCCAACAGTGTTTTCACTTGTTGAAACAGTCCTGGTACACTTCTTTTGTAATGTTCTTCAACGCCTTCATCGCATTTGCATTAATCTTGGGAATCATCTCAAATCTTCCTTTCAAGGGTCTTTTTTTAGTTTGGGGAACAAGAAAAAGTCACAAGAAGCACGGTCAGTTGAGTAAGGGGGTGGGAAAGAACAGTGATCGAGTGTTTGGCCAAAAACTCACAAGTTCTGAGGGTTGAATGGACTGGAGCATTGTTGTGATGGAGAAACCAGTTGCCACTCCTCCACATTTCTGGCCTTTTGTGATGGATGGCGTCCCTCAGACATTTCAGAACTTCAATATAGTAAGTCTGGTTTACTGTGGAACCTTGNAATAATAATAATTCATATTGTTAATTTAAATAAGAATTAAAATTGTTAATTTGAATGTTTGAAATATGACACATGATAGGGGCGCCTCTAGTGTCCATTATCAAATGGTTACGGGACAGACAGACGGATACCCGTTGAATGGGTTATATATATATAGATAATAAAAATACATACATGCACAGTCTTGCGTTTTTATTAGTCATGTTTTTTTCCATTTGAAAGAGTTACAGAATCTGTCTAATGTCGATTGCTTTTCTCTCTTCTTCAGGATTTTTCATAGGTAATTAATAGTATTGCAATTGTAGAAATCTCAAGCCTCAACCTGGTTTGGATGCCATTCTAAGACTGTTGTTCTGACATCCTCCCACTTCAAAAGATGTTTAATAGTAGATATTGGCATTAATCCTCTTTTTCAGAAGAAAACATATCTCGCAGAGTTTCTTGGTGTTCTTTATTCAAGAGTTCTTGGCGTTCTTCCGTCGTCAGATCAGTTTCCATTATGAACTCTTCGATGTTCTTTATTTCTCAGATGTGATTTTTGTTACTCCTTTAGCTGCTTGAGTCTTCTTGATTATACAGTATTTTTCTTAAATAAGATTGAACTGCGGCCTACTGTAGACCTGTTCAGCGGCCTACTGTAGACCTGGAGATGTACTATACTAATACCATGTGCTTATTTCTATTACATATTATCATTTTTTTTTTTTTGAATTCTGAAGTTCCATTGCTAGTCATGAGATGTCATCAAAGTCAGTAATGTTGGAGTAACAGAGCTTTCTTTTGCCATTGTTTGAAATTTTTATAAACTTTTACAATTATTACTTCAAAACTGCATCCAAAATATAATAGTAAATATAACAGTGGAGATAAATGCAAGAAGCATCATTCTATTACCATAGAAACTAAACCAAACATTATACAACTAAATGCATTAAGTGATAAAAACCATGTTTGAAACACTGGTAATTGTATAGTTCTTACCATAACACATTTTCTTTCTGACCCATATAAAAAAAAACTATAAACAAAAACTGATAAGAGTACTTACGGAATCTGTAACACTTGGGCTGCCATTGCTTAAGCTCATAGAAACAACCAACGATCGCCTGAATGATTGGGCTAGAATTTGGCTAATTAAATGATTAATACAAAGCAATTTGTTACTAGAGGGAGGCATTAGGCACCATCTCTTAACTAAATTAATAATTATAATTTTAATCATTTATTAAATAATTTAGAACCTTCTGGATTCTTTTGAACCTTTATCGAATAATTTAGAACCTTAAGCTTATTTTTGTCATGCAGCAGCACATTGGATGATGGACATGTACAAAATGTGTCACGTGACCCAACTTTGACATCACTCAGTCACATGAAATGTCAGCCACATAACATCTCTGACATATTTCCAGAGAACTTTTCAAACCCCAAAGAGTTTGCTTTAATTATTTATTTAGAATTATAAGCATATAATCTAAATTTTAAAATGATTTGATAATGTATTTATTGTTTTTTATGAAGTTAATACTAAAGGATAATTATCATTATCAAATCTTAAGTTGGTCAGTTTTGTCGTAGGATGTTACAGTATTAGTAGAAACGTAACAAATTATCAAACTGTTTGATAAATTTGGTCTTTGGACTCTAAAGTCCAAAAAGCTCTCAGGAAATACATCAGAGATACTACATGGCTGAAGTTTCTAGGTAGTCACATGACTAAGTAACTTCGAAGTTGGGTCATGTAACACATCTTGAACACGTCCACCTTCCTGCTCCACAACGAAAATAAGCAATGGCAACCTGAATGGTAAATAGTCCTATCAGTTTTTTTTAATAGTGTATTTTGTATGAGTTGGCACCAAATAATTCTATGCATTTTGGAAGTATCTATGAAATATGTATCTTTTAAAACAAATTAGAAAGAAAATGTGTAATGGTAATAAACTATATACAAGGTCTGTCCCAAAAGTAAGTGTATTAATTTTTTATTTAATGACTGTGCAGCTTAACACATCATTAATTGGTATTTTTGCATTGCTAGATATCTTAGCAGCATATATAGACCTGTTTCAGATTGATTGGTTAAGTCAAACATGCACAATTTCTGTTTGTGTAAGATAGCGCTTTAACACATCGTTACATTTGAAATGGAGAAAAATCTCTAACAACGTTACACTACCAAGTTTTGTGTGAAACTCAAGAAATCTGCAATCATCTTGATTGCAGATTTAATCAAGGCTTATGGAGATGCTACCTTATCGAGAAACATGGTGTTTGGATGGCACAAAGATCCAGGGTAAAGACAATGCTTATCATTTTTTTGATAGCCATGGAATTATGCATAAAATAATTTTTACCTTCAGGACAGACAGTTATTCAGGCCTTCTACAAAAATGTCTTGGAATGACTTCAAAAACAGGTCAAGCAAGTCCACAGGAACTTTGCAGAAGATTGAGTGTTGCACCACAATAATGCACCTGCTCACACAGCACTATTAATCTAACTTGTTCAGGAGTGCATATGTATTAGCGAGCTGTTTTTTAGATAAAATTTGTGAATTATTGGATGTTAGCAAGGTGGTCTTAATATAAATAATTACCAGTTTATCCAGTAAGAGTTTGATTTATTGTGCTTCCAAATCAGAAATTACTTTTAAGTAATTCATACATATATAAATTTGCATTTGATACCGACTTAAAAGTAATCTCTACTCCGAATCTCATTAGAGTACAAGTTACCACTTATAACTTCAAATCTGTCGGAGTTATAAGTAGATAAATTGTTATAAATTTCTGAATTACTCTCTGCAGATCTGTGACAACTAATTACAATTTCTTCGTTAATAACAAACAAATCTTTAAGAAGCATTAATTCTTTTCCGGTTCAATTAAAAACCAGAAATCTCGATATAAAATGTTAACATTTCTTAAAATTTTAAAACTAATTACCTTTATTAAATGTAGGAAAAGAAGGAGGTTTCTGTTTCTTTGCTTTCCTACCGGGACCCTTTTTAGTTTTTAAATGAAATTCCCCTTTTCTTCCCATTTTAAAATAAAAACACTAAAATCTTAAAACATGAACAACGCACGTGGATAAAATTCACGACAGCGACCTCTGCATAATTTAAAACTTAAATTGATAATTTACTAATTTAAAATTTTTTTGTCGTTTTTTGTTTATTTTATTTTTATTACTTTAATCTATCTAAAATAAATATTATAATTTTAGTTTTTCAGATATATATATTTTTTCACTTTTTTTTTTACCACAAAAGAGTACAGTACTTTAAAAAGTAGATCTGGAATTTATCAAACTGCCAAAATTCTTATTGTTGACTGGTTAATTTAATTAAATTATAATTAGTTAATTAATTATAATATCGTTATATTTAGAAATTTTAATCGTCCGGATGACTTTTACTTTTTGACAAGACTATGTCTTGTTTATAAAATCGTACTGCCCGATTTTCTTACCAGCATAGAGGTATGAAGGAGTATATATCGAGAGTTGATATTTGGCACAGAGTATTAGGTGCCCAAATCATTTGCGCATAAAAAATCCAGACTCGTAGGTAGTCAGGGGACCGAGAATCGAGTCAAAATAAATTACAAAATGGCGACCCTCTTCTACAAACAGGCAAAACAGGCACCTCACCCCACCGAAGTCAAGTGAGAGAGAGTACCACCCACAGTCATTCTAAGAAGTGAATTCTGACCTTAGAACTGAACACGTAGTTTCTTCTATGTTAAATAAAATTTGTAATCTAATTTTTTAAATTTGGAGTGCTTCAAATGTGATATTAAAACGGTTTTATGTCATTACAAGTGGGTTTTTTTAATTAACATTATCTAGTATAGTAAAATCGTGGAACCGATAAAAATTTGACATTATATTAGGGTTGTCGTTACATTCGATGACATCATACAGTATGTATATTGTTTGTGCAAAATAAAAAAATAATTTCGGACGATACAATAACCACGATTTTTTTTTTTCAAAAAAGGAAACTTTTCGTTACGCATCGACAAAAATTCAACCCGGACCGACACGCAACGGAGAGAAATTTTGAAATTGAATAGGTTAATTTCATCGAAGATGAAATTAACCTATTCATCGTGGACGCATCGTGGACGATCTCGTGATCATGGCCGGCGAAGTTTGAACGATCGCGCCCAAAAGCATCGATATCAAAGAAGATAGCAGAATGAGAACGAGACCTGCCTTGAGCTTTAAAGTGATTCCGTCTCCGAGACATAGTCTTGTCCCGAATAAGGTTTTGCCGTTTTACTTATTATTTTTAACATTTTCCACCCTGTAAGAGCGCCTTTTAATCATTCCAATCGTGCCAAGCCCATAACGGGGGTAGTCGGGTGTTTTTTAACTCTTTCCGCCTTGTGGGCACTAAGAGGGCTTCATTTAGCAAACCCATTATGAGTTCCCAGCCCGCAATGGGGACGGGGCCCGACATATCCGGACGGACCACCCTCCGAAAAATTTCTGGAGATTTATTGACCCGTCCAGATTCTAACCCGGTCTCCCAGAGCGGTAGGCTGCACCCTTGACCGTTCGGCCATCCGGCTGTCAAAGCGGTCAAACTCGAATCGTGAAGAACGGGACCCGATATATCCAGAACAGATTGCTAATGAAAAATTTCTGGAATTTTTATGAGAAATCTGTAC